CGTCCTGCAGCAAACCCAGTCAGATTGTATCTACATGGATGGACCGAAACAAAAGCAATCCTGGAAATTAGAAATGGTTCTCATCATTTAGTTCAAGTAGCTAACTGCTACAAATGTGCCAAATGAGATTTTATTTTATAATTTTTTTTGCAATTTTTATGCCTTAAATAGTAATAATAATAGTAATAAATTACTAAGGCTAAACTTGTTTAGTTGGTCTTGATGAGAGTCTGACTCTCTTGGGGGGGAAATGACAGAAGTGAACCAATAGGTGTCAGCCTTCCTTGTGCCCACATTCGTTTCTAAATCAGTGCCAAATGAACTAAAGAGAGATATAAACAAGTAGGGCACATGCTTAGTAAACAGTCCCTAAAAGAGGCACAGACTTGGCCGGCCTTTCAGTGTTTGTTGGTGACATATATTGAGGGATGTGAAACTTGCTATAAGCACTAAAGAAAGAGTTCACACTAAAATCAGACTCTCAAACATTAAATTATGTTGATACTTTGAAAACAAACAAACAAAAACATAACAAATATAAAATAAACAAATATGAAACTTGGATATATCACACTCACTTATTTCAAAGTTCTTTCCCACAATAAATCCCTAATGATTGCATATTCATACCGTAGTAAGGTGTTGTATAGAAAAATAGCACTAATATGTGCTTTAATATTAGTAAAAAAAACAGGTTATATGCTAGTAATATGCTTATGAGCAACTCACTGTAAATATTGACACAAGTGTCCAAACAATCATTTACAAAACTATACAAAACAAACCAAAATAAAACAAAATGAAATGACACAAAAAATGATACAAAACTAAATACAACACTAAACAAACACAAAACAAAACAACAAAAATATAATACAAAACAACACAAAGTGATACAAAAATCAATATAAATAAATAAAACACAATAAAAAAAGATTGCACTACTCGGCTGACTATTCAAATTGCATGCATGGATGGGATATGAAACTTGCTGTAGGTAACTTTTGATGCAAGTGTCCTTAATTTATAATTGGGCCCACAATAAAAATTAACTATTTAAACAAACAAACAAACAAATAAATAAATAATAAACTTGGATATATCACACTCATTAATATCAAAGACCTTTCCCACAATAAACCCTTTTCATACAGTAGTAAGGTATTGTATGAAATGTTTTATTAATATTTGCTTCACTATAGTAATAAACAGCTTATTTGCTAATTATATGCATGCTTATGAGCAACTATGATAGTAAAAATTTAAGTGTGAGCTCTTAAACTCAAAAAAGTGTCAAAACTAAATTTTACTAAATGGTACAAAACAAAACAAAATTTAACAAACTGAAATGATACAAAAATATACAGACAAAACTAAACTACTGAAAACTAAACTAAACTATACTTAACAAACACAAAATAAAACAACAAAAAAAATATACAAAACAAAACAAAGTGATGCAAAATGATACAAAAATAGATACAAACAAAATAAAAATTAATAAATAAATAAAACACAATAAAAAGATTATGCACTACTCTGGTGACTAATCAAATAGCAGGCATGGCTGGGATATGAAACTTGCTCTAGGTAACTTGTGATGCAATTGACCTTAATTTAAATTAGGGCCCAAAATAAATAAAAAAATCAATTTAAATAAATAAATAAATGAATAAAAGAATAAATGAATAAATAAATAAATAAATAAATAAATAAATTTAATAAAACTACTGAACAATAAACTATACTAACAAACCCAAAATAAATCAAGACACAGCATACAAATTAAAACAAAACCCAGACACAAACGCTAAGACTATAGAAAGCTATAATGTCAAATGTAAAATGTTGGATATTTCAGTATTTGTACTATTAACTTAATTTAAGCTAAATTCACCACGATTTTATCTAGGATTACTTTGAATACAAGTAAAGTGCAAACATAGAGTGTGGTTTCTTGGAGTATGCAACAAAAAACAATACATTGAATATTCTGTGCTATTTCAGGTCACTAATGAAACAAGCAACTTTGTACAAAAGGTCATATTTGTTTGCTTCCACTGAAGCAGATGATTTGGAACGCTAACAAATCATGTTTGTTTTTTCAAAAGCTTGTGCAGTTCATGCCAGCTCAAGTGCATGATGTAATTAAAGCAAAAAGAGGGGCATTCCAAATTAAGACCATTAAACACATATCAAATACTAAATACTGTTACAGAGAAAGTATTTTAAATGCAAATTTCCATTAATTCTGGAAAAATAATATACTTTATGCTTTAAAAAAAATAATAATAAAAAACATTTGGCAGTGGACTTTTGAACCCCATTGTAGGTCACTTGCTATTTTGGATGTACTGTACGCAATGATTGATGCCCTGGTTATCAAATCTCACCTGAAAGCCAAGAGAAGTCTCATCCATGGGTGGAGGAGGTGGGAAGCTAGAAGGGGAGGGCAGCCCACTGGGGTCAACCACAGGTGGAGGAGGTGGAGGATAGTCACCTGTTAAGTAATACAAAAATAAAAATACATCAGTCAATGTGATAAACTCTCTTCCTCTGGGATAAGTCAATACTCAGCAGGTCAGAGTGGGTGGAAAACTTATATCAAATCTGACAGATCAAACTGACATCAATCTGATACGCCTTATGTTAGAAAGAACAGTGAATAAAACTTGCTAGATCTAATATTTTTCATATGTACAGTTGAAGTCAGAATTATTAGCCCCCCCCCCCCTGAATTATTAGCCCCTCTGTTTATTTTTCCCCCAATTTCTGTTTACGAAGATAAGATTTTTTTCAACACATTTAAAAACATAATAGTTTAAATAACTTGTTTCTAATTACTGATTTATTTTATTTTTTCCATGACGAAAGTAAATAAAATTTGACAAGACTTTTTTCAAGATATCCAGCTTAAAGTGACATTTAAAGGCTTAACTAGGTTAATTAGGTTAACTAGGCAGGTTAGGGTAATTAGGCAAGTTATTGTATAACGATGGTTTGTTCTGTAGACTATCAAAGAAATATATAGCTCAATATATAGATCAATAACTCCAATAATGATTCAGGTTTTTAAAAAGATTTGACTCAGCAGGTTTTTAACGATCGCGTGTGTGCTCTCTCTCGTGAATGCGTGGCGGTCACAGAGCTGCGTACAAAAGGCTGCACAGTTGTTCAAATCTGCATTTGCTGACAGATTGAGCTACTTATCAGAGATGTCGGTCCGACTCAATTTAATTGGATGAACATTTTTTTGTTTTATTCATTCATTCATTCATTTTCTTGTCGGCTTAGTCCCTTTATTAATCCGGGGTCGCCACAGTGGAATGAACCACCAACTTGTCCAGCAAGTTTTTACGCAGCGGATGCCCTTCCAGCCGCAACCCATCTCTGGGAAACATCCACACACACATTCACACACTATGGACAATTTAGCCTACTCAATTCACCTGTACCGCGTGTCTTTGGACTGTGGGGGAAACCGGAGCACCCGGAGAAAACCCACGCGAATGCAGGGAGAAAATGCAAACTACACACAGAAACGTCAACTGAGCTGAGGCTCGAACCAGTGACCCAGCGACCTTCTTGCTGTCAGGCGACAGCACTACCTACTGCGCCACTGCTATATAAATCATTATATATATATATATATATATATATATATTAATCGAGCCAAAGAAAAAAAAATAAAACTTTCTCCCAAAATCCTTCATCAATGATTAAAAAAAATACAAATTCAATGATTCCGCAATAATTTTTTTGCAAATGTCTCTATATATATGAAGAGTTTAGATGCAAAAACCTTAAATTGTCATCAGAATTTTTTCTCTAAAAAGAGCATTTTTATCAGGTTTCTGTGTGTATGTTCTGTGAAGTCACTTTTATGGCAAAGAATAAGTCCTTTTTCTTTATATTTTTATCAATTTCTCAGTAAATTTATGCAATGTATTTTAAGGCATTTAAAAATTTATTGAACAGAAATATTTATTAAAATAATATTTTAGTCACAAAACATATTTAGAAATTAAAAGATAATAAAATTCAATTCAAGCAAAACATTGCAAAAATAAAAATCCAACCAACAAAATTATAAACAAACAAAAAATATTTAATACAGTATATAAATGTGGGTATACTCGTTTTTGGACTGTTATCATAAGTTATTTTGTTAGATAAGCTTCAAATGTGGCTTCAGTACTGACTAATCTAATGTGTTTGCACAAATCTAATATTGTATAGCCTCTATTAAAATATGAATTTAAAAAATAGATCTGGGAGGGGTGTGCTTATATGCTTAGCACTGTATTCCACAGTTCATGTCAAAAGTTGTTCTTTTTAAGCACTCAAAATATGTTTCTGAAGTAGCTAAAAGGAAGACAGGCTTATACACAACTACCATATTCCCTTGATCCATTAATACATTTAACAACAAACATTTGGTTAACTAAGATGGTCTAAGCTGTAGTAAGCAGGTGTTTGTACAGATTGAAAATCTATGTACTGTGCTCAAAACAAGTGAGATGGGACATTTGTCCAGCCAAGTGTGTGGCAACAAGCCAATCGCAGAGTTGTAAAGTCCACAGCTAATCCAGGGATTGGGTTCCACTGCATGTTTCAGGCAAGATCACGATCTGCTCGCTAAATTATATTCTGATTTGGCTGAGCTCGGCGTCCAATTTAGGACTGAATCATCTGACCAGCTAAGTACCAATGCAGACATGAGCTTTCCAAATTACAGCCTTTTAAGGGAGGAAATAGGAATGTACGGCATCATTAGTTTTGAAAGAGTTTCTTGTTTAATCTTGTTTTTATTATAGTTTTTTTTTATCTTGCTCTAGTTTCTATTTTTTTCTCTCTTGGATCAAATTGATGTCAGAAATGCTGCTTTATTTTCAAAGCCAACTGGACAAATTAATTAACTATAGTATAAAATCATCAAATGTGAAGGCAAGACATAGCATGTCAGAAAGAAATGGCCAGTATTTATACAATGTAAAACTGCTGTGAACATGGCATCAAACATTCCCCAAAGGCACAAGAGCACTTTATGCGAACCGTTTATGTAATAACCTTGTGACCCCTGTAAAAAAACTCATAGGCAAAATGAAAAAAAGAAAGAGAAAAAAAGAAAAAAGGGAAAGCATCCATCAACCTCCTTTCCCCTCCTCCTGTGATATCCGTGCTTTTTTTTTCCTAGTCTAGCTTACATCCTAAAGTCACTTGTAAGTTGCAAGTTGACACAAAATTAATATCTTAAGTTCCTTAATATCTTATGTCTCTCTGACATCCAATGATGTCTGGATTTCTCGATTCAGGGCAACATGAGAGATGTAAATGTTTCAAAGATGGCATGATTTATTGAGGAGGTTTAGAAGAACAGGGCAAAAGAGACCAAGAGAGGGAGGTGTGGGGCAGTAGCACTCCTGCAGAGCCTCAAACTACACAGCACACTGAAAGAGGAAGTTAACTCGCTTTTTAACTAAAATGACAAAGAAAATGCACAAAGACAGAAGAGCAGCTATTATATTATCTTAGGAAGAGACTTAACTGTTCTATTTTTTGACAAATTGGTGGCAAACAAATATTAATATTTGCACAATTTGAGTCATTTAGGATTTTTGGGGATAAAAAGTCTATAACCTATAAATCTTAAAGATTTTATGAAAACAAAAACAAATTAACAAATGTCATAAAAAACAATACATTTAGACACTAATTTGCCAGGAAATAAAGCAGTGTCATGTAAAACAGCTGTTTTGGACTTTGGAAAATATTAGATATTAGATTAAACATTTGTTATTACATCCAAAACCTTTTTTAACATCCAAATCAACATAACAGAAAGATTTCTGAGGTATTCTGTGACACTCAAGATTATATTATAGATTATAAAGAAACATAAATAATATCATAAATAAAATCAAACATTTTTAAAATCTATTTAAAACATTAATGCAACATCAATACATCAAATCCAACTATTAAGGTTGTTGTGATTATTGTCAGACTCTTTACCAGAGTAACCAATTGCTTCAGTCTTTTATTCAGAAATTTAATCCTGCTCCAAAAGAAATGTGACAGAGAGAGCGAGAATCCAAACCTCTATAATGATAATTTGGAAGTGTTTACCAGCTGAAGCAATCTTTTCCAGAATGACTGCTCTTGCAGGCCATTTCTAAATGATGGTATTGCACCATTTTGTTCTCCATTTTCACTTAAAGTATATCAAAATCATTAGGAAGCCATCTGTCATGTAGGCTCTAACTGTATGGCAAATTACACTCTAAAGCAAATGTCAAACTCAAGACCTGCAGCCAAAGAGCATACAATTCACACCAAATGCAAATGTATGTATTCATGCGACTAGATTACATAGTACATTTAACCTGGGCAGTGAGAGTGATTTAGAATTAGGAAGGCATTTGCTGCAAACCTGTAGACTTCAAGTTCAAGATATTCAACTTAACTCAAATTGAAAATTTCTACAAGGCAAAATGCATCTTGCGAGTAATGTAGAGCAAGTGACATGTGCTTTGCTTTTGGTGTGAACCAAGCATTGCAGGTTGACTATGAACTACACTACCTGACAAAAGTCTTGTCGATCCCACTTATAAGAGCAACAAATAATAAAATATGTGCTGTCCATTACATTACAAACCCAAGGAGAGGGCCAATTCTTCAGCAGGATAGCGCTCCTTCTAATACTTCAGCCTCCACATAAAAATTCCTGAAAGCAAAGGTCAAAGCGCTCCAGGATTGGCCAGCCCACTCACCAGACATGAACATTATTGAGCATGAGGTAAGATGAAGAAAGAGGGAGTGAAGATGAATCCAAAGAATCTTGATGAACTTCCAGAGTCCTGCAAGAACTCTTTCTTTGCCATTCCAGATGACTTTAATAATACGTTTTTGGAGTCATTGCAGAGATGTTCTGATGTAGTCGTCCAAGCTCATGTTAGTCATACACAATATATATATATATATATATATATATATTATTATTATTTTTTTTTTTCCCCACTGCACCATGACTTTATATGTTATACTGTACCTTGTTTCTGTTAAGTCACAATACTTTTGTCTAAGCAGTCAGACCTTACTGTCTTAATTAAATAATTAAAAATCATTTTATGATCATATTTTATTTTGGTAAAATCAACATAATCTAGAGATCTTTGCCTTATATATGAGCCAACTCTGATACCAAATGATCAATGAGAAGTTATCATGTGTTGTGCCTAAAACTTGGACAGGCGACAAGACTTCAGTTAGGTAGTGTACATCTACCATAATGCATCTTTGTTTTGCAACCCAGTTCATAATTATTCTTTGTTTCCATAGTTCTGCTCCTCTCAAACATGACAGCATTTTGGATAAAGGTAATGACTTGAGGATATTTGTCTTTGTTATTTACTTTGTTGGAGTAATGTGGGTTTCTTAACTGCATAAAAGGATTGATGTTTTACTCTACTTTACATTTATGCAAATACATGGATTTAT